GAAAGTTATGCCCTGGTCAATTTCAGTTGACTTTTTCAGCTGTCCAAATATAGCAACTTTTGCATCTTTGATGATTTCTGAGCCAAATTTTGAGAATCATGATCAAGCATTGATCAAATGATGTTTGTGGCTTCAAAATGATATGTTGACCAAAAATTTGAACTTTTGACTGTCAAATGACCATTTTGCCCCTACAGTTGACTGTAGTGCAATCTAGGGTTTTGACTGTGCAATTTTGAGCTGAATGCCTTGAAACTTGACATGAGGATACTTGACCACATTTATAGGCATATGAGACTTGATTGGGCCTTTGAAAAGTTCATTTGCTTGACCAGAACTCAAACCCTAGTTTTGACTGTATAGGAGACAGTTGAGCTGCACAACCCTTGGGGAATTTTGTGACCTTGACTTGGCAATTCTTGATGAATATGGGAGGGCAAATTTTGGGGTACAACAATAACTGTCTGAAGTTTGTAATAGCTAATTAGGACATTTACCTTTTTATTCCTCAAGTTTAGGTTTGTACTCTCCATTCCCGAGGCGATGTAATACTGTAGTTTAAATTCCACATTTTTACTTTCTGCACTTGTATTTATTTAACTGCTAGATGTATGCTAATAGGCTTGTATGAGAAGACTAAAAGCAAACGCTAGACAACCTAACCTCAAGACTAATAACTGAAACACAACACACTTCGCACATGCGCACCTCTAGGGTATTTCTCACCTGTTGCCTCAGATAAACAACAGTCATGTTCCTCGAACGTGGGACACTTTAGCAAAGTCCCTCGATACAAAGATCATAGTCTCTCGATGATCCTTCAATGTTGCCTTTCGGTAAATGATCTAGTCCCTTATAATAAATTGCTAAAGTGTCCCACGAGTTGCCTTCGTGACTGTACAATGACTCGCGCATGTCCCTCAAACATCCATTGATAGGGCTACCTACTAACCAATGGTATGATAACACTATCTAAAGGAGAAGAGGAAAAGAACAAAGATCTTTCGAGTAGGTAGACAACTTGTAGTTGCTTGCTCATAAAACAAAACAAATTTCCCAGACATACACTCCCTTTTCTAAATATTTTTCAAAGACAAAAAACACTTTGTATGCATTCTCAACGATACGAGAATCATTACAAAGTTTGTAGCACTAAGGCGTCTTTTCAAAATATTTTCAAATACACTTACACAAAAAAGAAGCATTTTCAAAGTGAGCTAGCAACTAAGAGCCCGTAGATAACTACGGATGGAAAGGGTGCTAATACATTCCCTTTCCATAACCTACCCCCCTTACTCAAAAAAATTCTCGAAAAGTCTTTCCTGTTTTTTTCACTATTTCCTTTATTGGATAAAAGAAAAGTCGGTGGCAACTCTTGCCAACCGCAATATTTCCTTTATTCAAGGGAAATGCTAGTTTATGTATTTCCAGGTTCACCCGTGAAGGTAGAAAGATTCTCGTTGCTTTCCCCTTTCCTGATAGGTCAGGACCGCCCCTTTCTGAAGACTTGCAAGTGACATCCATCCCATTCCCCTAGCAGTGGATTCTCCAACTTTTGCAAGAGTAAGAGTGGAACCACAAGTCGAAGGTTCCAGAACCAATGAAAGAGAAAAACCTAGTTATCAAAGGCTAGGAACTCCGGATATGAGATTGGACTAGACTGGGCTAAACTTTTTATAGTTCATGAGATCAAGTAGAACCGCTTACTTACTAATTACTTAACACTAAACATCGTCACTCTCGAGCGAAGGTGGTATGGATACTTAATACTTTAACTAAAAACTAAACGAGCGGGATACATATGATACCACACCTAAAGACTCTGGAACGCATTTATGCCGGATCTTATTTAACTTGCAGAGTAATACAAGTTTTTCAGAGAAAGGAAGAGATTCTCTGTGCCATGAAAACAGGCTTTCCCGTAGATAGGTTGTTAATTGACTCTCCCTTCCATCAGTCAGTCCCTATAGAAAAGAGATAGGAAAAGTAATTTAGACACTTCGCGAAGGAGGAGAGGAGCACCTACGCATATGGGCAATATATGTAAAAGTAAAAGAAGAGAAGGAGCTCACCACCAGGAGAAAAGGTAATTTTCAAGAAAGAGAATCGTCTCTGAGCTCAGATCTTCTTAGCTCGTTGACAACGAAAGAGATCAATTGCTTCTTCTATCACTATGATAGAGACGGAATAGAGAGCCACTCAAGAGAACTAGCCGAAGGGGACCATCACAGTTGGGGCGGTGGATGACAGGCTAGCTCACCCCTTAAATTAAAGGAAATAAGTTTATAGTAAGTCTGGGTGGGATCTATTCCAAAAGGTATCACCCAGCTAGGCGAATCACAGTATGTTTGGCCTGGCTGTATAAGTGTAGCCCGAGAGGGCGGCTAGCACCTCAGGAGCCCTTTGTTACGAAATCCTCTAGAAAGATAAAAGCCTCTCCCTTTCCGTTCGGGGCCAACCAGACGATTAGTTTCCAATCCGAAATGCTTATATAAGACGAATCCAATGAGCTAATGAGAAAGCGTCTGGAGTTACTTGTACTTTTCGTAGAGATAGAGGGAAAGAAGCTTAGTAAGCTAGTAGCACGAAAGTGGCTTCTTATGGAGCTCGCTCGGGGGACAGAGAGATCTTCTTTTTGAAATGGAATTTCTTTTTAGGTCTGAGTGCTTATTCGAAAGTGAATGAATGTTAAATTTGCTTTTCTAACTAATGGCACATCTTCCTTAATAGCAACTGCACTTCTACGCAGGCATCAGGAAAGGGATTGACCTTTGGAAAGTAACTTCATACCTTAGACGGTTTAGGCTTTTGATTCGACAGTTGGGATTGAGCTTTCACTATCACTAAAGGACCGATTCTTGTTATTGCCAATTCCCAGTCCTCTAGGCCCAATAGACTGAAAGCAAGGAACTTCACTCTAAGCTGGGGAAGTAATGAAGGGTAAATAGCGTAGATAAGAAAGGGCGTCGTTAGCAGGCTAGACAGATATTGAATGAAGAAAGAGAGGTAAATGAGACTGGTATGCCAGTTTCCATCTTGTTTTTGTCGGGGGTTTTGGCAGAATTTGGTTCTACTCCCATAGCCCCTTTTGTTGCGGCATTCCCCCAAGGAAAGAAAGATAAAGACGGGATATGCGATTTAAAACTTGTCGTCTACTTTCAGGAAATGTTCGGAACAGAGAACTTACAATAATACAACGCCGCATTCTCCGAAGATTGAGGAACAAGAAGAGATCTATTAAGAGAAAGATTTATCCGAGAGAAAATCTTAACAGTTACATCCAATCACAAACTACACGAAAGTTGCCCCTTTTTCATGGGGATTTACCCATCACAGAGATGCACAGAGGAACAGAACGAACTTCATATATCCCTTTTCTACTCAATCCAGAAACAAGATCGGACGTTATTCCGGTTCGTCTCCATTTTCGTGAAACTATTCCTCAAGCAAGGCAGCCGATAAGTCATCGAAGGGTTTGTGTGAATAATCGAATGGTAAGCATTACTCGTTTGAAAGTTTCCCACGGTGATCTAATATCTTTTCAAGAAAATGACGCGAGAATCCGCGGTGAAGAAATAAGGAGATCTTTCTATATCGAAATATCAGTTGATAAAATCATAGGAAAATTCCTGGATCACCCGGTAAGAATGTGGAGAAGAACCAAAACAGAATGGTTCCACCTACTCAAAACTAAGCGGGGATGCCGCCTACTACTAAAATCCCGGTTTTTGCAACAACAGTTGCGTTATTATATGCAAGAAGAATACTTTGAAAGAACAAAGAAGTTTGGATCCGAAAAAGTATGCTTAGGCAGTTCCTTCGCTGAGCACAACAGAATGAAGAGGAATTTGTATCATTTCAAATCCCTATTCTTATCGAAGAGAAGAAACGAGAAAAACCGATATCTTCCTACTCGAACAAGAAGTCCTATAGTTTACAACTCTTCTTTATATAGTAATTCGACCTATTGCTCCTCATCCCCCCATCAGTTTACTATGAAGAGAAGAATAAAAAGGATCGAACTACCTACTAATTATTCGGAGGTTAATCATAGAACACCAAAAGCGGTGGTATTTTATGGACCTAACATAGGTCACATCCCTCACGACATAAGATTGAAAGATCCAAACCTTCCTCTTCGGAGCGGAAACGGACGTGGCCAAAACATATAAAGATCAGCGTAGTCGCTCATAGGGACATATCTATCCGGATAGAGGATAGTCTAGATCGATTCATAGATAGATTTCTATCCATATAGATAGGTATCTCCGTGGATAGAGATAAAGATAGGGATCCATCTAGATCTTGCTTGATTCACTATTTCCATTTTTTTTCTTGATTCTGATTGATTGCCTTTTTGACGACAAGTTTTAAATCTTAATGCAGGCAAGGTACGTAGTTATCGACCGTAAGGGAGAAGGAAAGATTTTAAATTCTTACTTGCTGGGTCGGAGTGTAGACGAGCGAGCAGAGCCCAGGATACAGGGAAGCCCGTCATAGAGCAGTCGACTAGAAGTAGAAGACTGCTGGCCTGAGAGAAGGCGGCCTCCCTCGGGAAACATGGCCCAATTTTTCTTCTTTCTTTTTTGATTACCTTCTTTTAATAAAAGTGAAGGATTATGCACGTGGAATACTCCTTTCCATTTCTTCTTTCTTTTCTTTAAGGGAGCTGTTCCAGAAGTTGCACTTTCTTTCGATGTTGGTCCAGGCCCCCTATCCATTGGCATTTAAGTAGGCAAGGCCAATCCATCTGTTAAGTCAGCTGGTTCTAGGTCAAAAGCTAGTGTAAAATATGTCTTTCTCGTCCTAAGCCCTAAAAGTGCTTCCGCCTTACCTGGAGTTGAAGTTACCGTTGGAGGCCTTTGAGTGTAGGCTTAGTCAGTTATTATCGCAGTTCAGATAAGATTCGGACCGCCACTTCTCTGAAAGCATGGTTCTTGCCTTCCTCTTTCCTCCCTCCTTGGAGCTCGTCCATTCGTTAGGTGATCCCTTGCTCTCACGTTCGAGTGTTTGCTCGTCGTTTAGGCCGGTTAGTTAGATTTCTGCTCATTGCAGTCACCTCCGGGGTTCTTCGCACCTGGATAGTACCAGGACCCTTGTGCCCCGGCCCTTGATCAGATAAATCCGCCCTTAAACTCCTCTTTTCATTGATGGTAACAGAACCCACTCTTGATAAAGGGCAATAAAAGGCGCAGCAATGGCAAGAAAGAATAAACCACGGAAAGGCACTTAGAGATCCTTAGCTAAAAAGGGAATTTGTGAACTCCTGTGTCTCAGTGCCATGGCATACAAAGTCATGTCTTGGAGGATTCCATACGTCGACTCATTCAGACGAAAAACACAAAGATACATCATCCCCAGGCGCACAAAAGAGCTCTACTATATCTCGACGAGACGGAACAGAAGACCTTGCCAACGATAAGACTTCAAATAAATGATCTGCACCTAGCTTAGACCAGGCTCATAGTCGGGCCCAGCATCTTCCCAAAGCCCAAGACCATCCCGAAAGACTCTCGCTTTGGACCACTTCTCCCACTAGACGGGACATCCTTGAAGCCAAAAAGGCTTTGAAAACACTTTTGAGATTTCAATCTCAGTTTAGGAAGGTACCTTAGCCTTCATGCCCTCGATCAAACTATCAACTGACCGACTGGATGGACTAACAGAAAAAGAGTAGCCTACGCTGGCTGGACCGCATGACCAACCTTTCCTTCAATGATAGAGGCAAGAAGACTTTCCGGCCAGGCCTTACTATAACCAACCTCACAGATCCCACTCCATCTTTTACACCGATGTATCGTACTCTCTCGACCAGGTCATCATAAGAAAATACTGCGAAATCTTTCCGAAGTGAGAGAAGGAGGGAAGGCGCGCTACAACTAACATAACAGCCAGCTTAAAAACGCTAGCTAGCTAGGCTAGCGCGCAATGGCTTTCTCTGATAGGGGCTCGCTTCTTCAAGCTCCGCCCAACCTATACAAGGTGCTGCTCGCTTTCTCTCAGCCACCAGTGGCTTATGTAGTGGCATTCCTACGTGCTCCTCTTTGCCCCCTACTTAAGAATCCAAAGGTGACCTTTGGCTGTTGTCTTGACGCTTTGGTTACGAAAGTAGCCGGGGTCTAGGTTTATTGATGGATTTTGTCAGCGAAAGTCCCTCAAACTCAATCAATATCAACAACATGTCGTGACCGGTTAGGCTTGGTGGATTTTGTCAGAAAAGAAAGTAGGTTTCGGGGGTGGGTTCATTGATTAGTACACCTCCGGTGCTGATAAGGTCGGGACCGTGGTCGTCCGTCTCAGGTTTTCCGGCCGATAAGATCTCTGAGATTGACCAGCCAGCTGGGTTGGTTTGGCTATTCCTTTCTATTGAAAAGAAGGAGTCAGCTGTCTGCGCGAGTCACCTTCTTCTAGGCTCCGCTGGACGACACGGCATTCTCGTTTAAATATAGGCCGGCCGCACTTGTGATGGTTCCCCAAGATCCAATATATATGACCACTTAGGTCTACGTTGCCACGATATTGTTCTATGGAAGCGGGCGGGCTGTTAGAAGTTCGGCCCGGTTTTTTTTGGTGTCGTAGGGGAGGGATTTACCTTTTTAACGCATATTCACTCGTACCGGCATGGCCCCACTGATTTGTTTTCGATCGGAGCATCAAGCAGCGCAACCCGGTTCTACTTGACTAAGCCCCGTGCTCGTCCAAGGAGGGAGTTTGCTTTACCCAACTCCCTTTTTGATAACAAGGCAGAAACCCCTGACATTCATTAGTTTCGAATGAAGAATGAAGAGTGCCCCAGCAAGCACCTACTCCTATCAAAATTAAAAGCGTTACTTTACTAAACAAGCAATAAAAGCTCTTTACTAATAACATAGAAAGGGCTTTTCTCGCTTGTAGCTTTCTTCGCATGCTTGAGCGCATTAATAGAATACATATAAAATAAAAAATGAACTTGAGTTTTCAATAAGGCTCGCGTAGGGGCGCTCACGTTTTTTGGCTTACCTAAAATCTTAGATTTTTAAGTTGGTAAAGACCCACCCCTTGTTTCAGTCAGAATGAGTCCCCGGGACCCCGGGACATTGGCTTCCGCCAACAGTGGACTATTAAGGATCGCATCCCGCGCATATTCTACATTATAGCCTGCAACTGATTCAGCTTCCGCTTCTGGGAGATCAAACGGAGCTCGATTAGTTTCTGCTAGACGAGAAATGAAGAACATAACCAATACAGGGAACAAGGGAATACCGGACCATATCTGCTTTTGCGCCATGACAATCTCACTCGAATTACGGGGACCTACACATATTAGTACAGTATACCGGGGTCCCCGGCCAGAACCACACGTGCAAGTTTCCCTGCATGTGGCTCGTCCGCGCTTTCCGAGGCGCTGCCTGTGACTCAGCATGGGATAAGAGGGCGTCACGTCACACTTTCGTGTTTAGAGCATTGTCCGAGTGAATAGGCAGCGCCTACCAAGCAAAGCTTTCTTGAAGAGGCTGGTTCCTTTTCGGTTCGGCGCCCGCATTTTTTTTAGATGTAGGGGCAAGGCAAGCCCCAGGAAAGTCTGGCTCCCAGCTAAATCTCGGCCGACATCCAGCTCTCGAGGGGGTGGGGTCCTGGAGCGAACTACTCATTGCAGTCTTGCCCCAACCCAAGGCCGTTAAGGTTGGTGAGGAGCATTGTTTTGAGGGAGGGAAAGCGTGGTTGACAAGCCACTTCGAGGAAGCGACTGGAGTGCTTTCATCAAATGATGCATATGGGCTGAGCCATTCCCATCCCAAGTGGTGGCCCGATTCGGCCTGGCCTGGTCGGGAAGAGATTCACATAGATACTTTTGCTATCCGGGAATCTCTTTCTATGTTAGCTAGCGGGGGCAGGCTTTCCTATGATAGTCCCGCTGCGGCCTCTGACCGTCCGTTACGTCTCATCTTGATTTGGCTATACTTGTATGTAGCCAGCCATGTTAGCTTCACATGAGAGAGCCCTTTTTTTAAGGCTAAAAACTCATCAGTCAGCTCGGCCCCTTTCCTATTCAGCTTTGCCGCCTATTAAGAGAATAGGTCCCGTTCAAGCGGCCCGCCTTTATTCATCTATACCAGCTGCCCCACGCACGACCCAATAGGAACGATTTCAGCGCCCCTATCTAGATAAGAAGCAGAACGCGCCATCACCTACAACCCTTTCCTCTGCCGGGGACTTCCACGAAATGAAAACGGGCGGCATCGTCGTATGCTCGACATTGGTTGCCCTGGTTTATATCCCGGAGTACTCCTATGGCCGATCTGTCACCCAACCTACTCAAAAATCTAAAGGCTTGACCCCGTCCCGTTTGGAGAATGACCCTTATGGCATGGCTTAGTCAGTTATTATCGCAGTTCAGATAAGATTCGGACCGCCACTTCTCTGAAAGCATGGTTCTTGCCTTCCTCTTTCCTCCCTCCTTGGAGCTCGTCCATTCGTTAGGTGATCCCTTGCTCTCACGTTCGAGTGTTTGCTCGTCGTTTAGGCCGGTTAGTTAGATTTCTGCTCATTGCAGTCACCTCCGGGGTTCTTCGCACCTGGATAGTACCAGGACCCTTGTGCCCCGACCCTTGATCAGATAAATCCGCCCTTAAACCAAAAACTACAAATGAGCCTTACGACGAGACGCGGACATCCCCCATGCTGCGGTTCCCTCCGGTCCGTTCCCGGGTTGGGTTAGGGGAACATCCGAGCGATTGCCTTCGCGGATCCAAACGCGCTCACAAGGCGCACAATAAGAATAAGACCAATAGAGACTTCATAAGATACCATTTGAGCTGCAGATCGTAATGCTCCTAGAAAGGCATATTTCGAATATAGAGGAGTGAAAGTTCCCAACAACGAGTTGATCATACCCTTCTTTGAACCGTACGAGCACGTCCTCTGTAACCCCCCCACCGCGCTTACGGCTCTATACCCCAACCCAACTTGCTCTGGCCCCCGATCCTCCCTTTCTATTCCTCGGTAAGCGGACCGTGGGAGCATGAGGGGGGGCGATATCCGCTTTTGACTGATAGAAAGCATCTCTCTTTTGTCCCTCCTGACCGAACCCGAAAAGAATAACTTTATGCCACTTTGTACACTTTAGTGTAGGCACCTTCTTTAAACGTGCCAAGCTGTGGAAGAGAGGTGCCAGGGGAATCAATGCTCTCAGCTGAAACAGGGCTTGAAGCCTTCGAAAAACCTTTATGCTCTTTTCTTCCTATCGAGTGGCGTCAACCGGACTGAAAAATAGAATAGCTGATCGAGCTCTTTGGTACGCGGCTAACCTTTTAAATGGAGCTGTTCTTGCTACTCCCATAAACTAAAGAAATAGGGTGGGTAGGATAAGGACTCTTATCATACAGCTCTTTTTCTTGCTCTTCAGGTGTCCTTTTATTATCTCTTGGCCCGTTGCGCCTGTTTGACCAATGAGAGTCCAGACTTGAGCTCATCTGATTAATTCATTCTTCCATTCGTCAGTATCGTCAAAGCAGCTGAACTCAATCCCGATGGCTACCAGTGTCGATTGGCATTCCGCTTCTATAAACTATATATATACTACAGATGTGACCATGATTCTATCTTGGTGAGAGTGGCGTGACTTGAAGCTGCACGGAGACCATTTCCTTTTCTTGCTCTCGTGCTGGATGTCATCTCGGCATATCGGTTGGTTTAAGATGAATCCGGGGGAGGGAAATCCTCCATTGGCCGTTGACCTTTGATTCTCTTCTCTGAACAGCTCTTAGGCTAAGATTGAGTTGAATCCGCTTCTCTTCCGTATTCCTCAGCTCGACTTTATGTTGCCGAAGCTGTCTTGAGGCCCTTTCTTTCCGGCTTCCTTGAGTCAGCTCGGTAGCTAGTCTAGTAAAATAGCCTCTTCCCTTAACCTTAATAGGGCTTGCTCCCTCTTCTCGTCCACTCGGGAATGAAGCCTTACCTTTCGCTACTAACCTGTTAAATGGAGTTGAGCTGGCTACAAAAAAAATGGCTTCAGTGATGGTTGCTTCATCAAATATAGGTGGCAGGGTCAGACTTTGAGAAAGAGTCCACTGCTGTCCAGTCATAGTCAGTAGGAGCAGCTCCGGCTCAGCTCGATCAAATTTCAAAATTTAACTCAGGCCTTGTAGTACCTCGCTATCCTCTGTTGGTAAGTAGCCATTCTGAACTGAGCTTGCTTTCTTAACTCTTAAATTAGGTCGAAGTTGGTCCTCAACTCTTCTTCGTTGGAACCCACATTTTGAAAAGTTCTGTTAGGTTCTTAGTAGAAGTCGGCGACCTTTTCTTCCTTCTTTTACTTCACATAGCTTTTCGTCTCCTTGATAGCTGGAATTTCTCCAAAAGTATGAAAAGCTGGAGGACTTTGTACCAGCCATTCCAGTGTGGTTGAATTTTGTTCAACAGCCCAAGGAATGTTCGCCCTTGTTATGTTATTTCCACTGCTTGAAGTGATTGTTACGACCACGAAGAAACTACGAATCCCAACTACGGATATATAAGAGCCAAAACTGCTAAGGGCATTCCATCCAGCGTAAGCATCTGGATAATCTGGAATGCGACGTGGCATACCCGAAAGCCCTAAGAAATGCATGGGAAAGAGGGTCAGATTAACCCCGAAAAAAGTGATCCAAAAATGGATTTGACCTAAAGTTTCAGGGTATGTCCGACCAAAGATTTTACCCACCCAATAGTGAAATCCTGCAAATAAAGCAAAAACGGCTCCCATAGAAAGTACATAATGGAAATGTGCAACCACATAATAAGTATCATGTAGAGCAATGTCTAGCCCTGAATTTGCCGGGACTATTCCAGTGAGTCCTCCTATGGTGAACAAAAAGATGAACCCTACAGCAAATAACATGGGTGTTTTGTATTGTATCGAACCCCCCCACATGGTAGCGATCCAACTAAAGATTTTAATTCCAGTGGGGACAGCTATGATCATGGTAGCAACGGTGAAGTAGGCACGGGTATCAACGTCTAAGCCCACAGTAAACATATGATGAGCCCAAACAAGAAATCCAAGAACACCTATACTGATCATGGCATAAACCATGCCTAGATACCCGAAGACCGGTTTTCCCGAAAAAGTCGAAACGATATGACTTATGATACCGGATCCAGGCAGAATTGGAATATACACCTCTGGATGACCGAAGAACCGAAAGAGATGCTGGTATAATATGGGGTCTCCCCCTCCTGCGGGATCAGAAAAGGTTGTATTAAAGTTTCGATCGGTTAATAACATTGTAATTGCCCCTGCCAGTACCGGAAGTGATAATAAAAGTGGGAATGCTGTTACTGGAACGGACCACACAAATAGGGGTGATCTATGCATAGTCATTCCAGGTCCACGCATGTTGGAGATAGTTGTTATAAAATTGATAGAACCTAAAATGGATGAAACACCAGATAGATGAAGACTAGAAATTGCTGAATCAACTGCTCCTCCAGAATGGCTGGTAATACCACTTAAGGGCGGATAGACCGTCCACCCAGTGCCGCTACCCACCTCTACTAAGGCTGAGCTTAATAGGAGCAAGAGACTTGGCGGCAACAACCAGAATGAAATATTATTTAATCGTGGAAATGCTATGTCAGGTGCACCTATAAGAATCGGAACAGACCAATTACCAGATCCACCTATCATCGCCGGCATAACCATAAAAAATATCATTAAAAAAGCGTGAGCCGTTATTAAAACATTATAAAGTTGATGATTCCCACCAAGAATTTGATCGCCGGGTCGTGCTAATTCCATACGAATCAATACTGAGAAGCATGTGCCCATCACTCCAGCAATGGCACCGAAGATGAAATATAGAGTCCCTATATCCTTGTGGTTAGTGGAGAACAGCCATCGGACCGGATTTGTCATAAAATGGAGATTCTTTCGTTTCCTTCCTTATCAGAGAGGGGCCCCTTCTTAGGGAGCGGGGCTTCCTTCTTGAAAAAGGGGGAGTGAGAGGGGAAGGGAGAATGAAAAGAGGGGTGGGGAAGGTCCGGAAAGCCCTCACTTTATTGATGGGAAATTTTGATCCCCTTTTCTTTCCTCTCCCCCCCGGTTATGGTTCAGGAAAGGGTCAACGCAAGGATCTTACTTCGAAGCAATCTCTGGAGTTTTCCCTTATCCGAACGGGTCTTGCAAAAAAATAGGATTTCATATTGAGCTCCAAATAAACGCTATTGGGATAGGATGGTTCCTACTAGCTCTCCCCCCTAAGAACCGCACGTGCGAGTTCCCCCGCATACGGCTCAAGTGGCGAAGGTTTGAAGACGCTCGACCCAAACAAGCAACGGCGAGCCCCTATCAGAGAAAGCCTTGGTCAAGCGCGCTAGCGCGCTTTACTTGGAGGTTCGCGCATCCTCTTGCTGGGAGAGAGGAACGAATCCTTCGCGCTTGGTAAGCGCTTCGCTGTAGCCAAGCTTACTGCTAGCCTATCGCCTAGAGCCAAGCTTCGACCGCGACTGCTCGTCACTTCTGGGCGCCTTTTTCCGTCACCCGAGATCCAAGTCAGCACCGGCAAAGATCTCTTGATTCCTCGCGGCCGGGCCGGCTTGGAAGCAAGCTACCTGTCGCCTATCTCACCCCCTTTCTTATTATTAGTAAGATAGGTTGCCCCTTTCCCCTTTCTCTAAGAAGAAGGTAAGCATCCCTCACTGCCGATCGCCTTCAGCAGGGTGAGCCTTCGCTTTTTGGATCGTCTTCTGCCCAATGTCAATGTGGTACCCTCCCGTTTTTGGTTCCCATTGGGTTTACCTTGTTTACAGGTCGACCCCATGGCAGCAAGAAAAAAAAGGCGATCTTGTGCTATACTCCGGTGATCTCTTTCCTACCGAGGCACGCAAACCCCCATCGTGTCCCAGATCACATTCTGTAAATCGAAAGGGGAAGCCTACTCATCCATCAGCTCCTCTCGTAGATCGGTGCGGTTTTACGAAGCGTCTAAGCACAGTTCACTCGCGTTGATCAATCAAGAGCTTTGCCGCCACTCCTTAAGGTTACCTGTTGTATCAGACACTTCTTTAATTCTTTCCCACGCTGCATACCCCCTTATTCTTAAGGTAAGGTAAAGGGCCAGGCATGGTGGGGTAGGAGCATTCTGCCGGCAATCTTTTTGGCTTGACCAAGAAGTCTTATGTCCTCCGAGTCGCACGGCGTTTTAACCGAAAAAACTTATTTCGCAATTCATGCTTTTCTGTTTTTATGACCAGATATTTTTTCTTGATTTCCATTTCAAATTGTTCTCTGGACTTTTTATCAATATGAGGTGATCGTAACACAGTATATAAGACTCGTGATTCAGGCAATCCAATCTTCCGTGTGTAAGGCGGAAGCCCCCCAAAATGGTTTTCCAA